CTGTTCTTTTGGATCCAGTGTGGATTATTGAGACCAGAAATGTTGTCACCTGTCTTTAGGATGGTAGCATTTTGTCACTTTAGTACAGAGCCAGTGGGTATGGAGTCTGAACTGGTAGCTATTCCCAGTACTTTTTAAAAAGGTTCAGTGAGTCAAGGGAGTGTGTATCATATTGAGACTGTAAGGAAGAAAGTTTTAGGGACCTTCTTCAGGGAGCTATTTCTTATTGTTTCTGGGGAGCTGTCAGCTCTTCCCCTCAGGTGATTTTAAAATACATTTATATATCTCATTGCTGCTACAATAAAAAATGTAACAAACTGTGGTGGTGATGGCACTTTCTTCTCCTTTTCCCCCTAATTCATCTTGGTTAATTTTATTATCCAAAAAAATAAAGAGGTGGGTGGGCAGATCATTAGTGTGAATGAGTTTTGTGAGGAAAAGTCAGAGACTTTGCCACTTCCCTGTAGAAATATGGATCCATTTAAAGTAGTATATGTAACTGAAACATATCATCTCCTAATTCCAAAACAAAAGCCTGACAGACTATTTATGGGAAAGGAAGGGACCTGAGTCTCAGTATATCTGGAAAGTTTGCTGTAAATCCTTATCTGAGAACAGAGAGAAAAAGATAAACTTTAGTCCTAGTGTCTTTCTATTATTCTTGCAGCATCTTCTTGTGGTGTATATTTTTTCATTACAATTATCATTCTATACAGATTTTCTTGAGTGCTGACAAGCTCTGCATCAGATACTGTGCTTCTTGTGAGCAACAGAGAGATAACTAAGGTAATTCTTGACTCAAATGAGTTCATAGTCTAATGGCAGGCTCCAAAATAGATGCAGCAATTGTTACAAGTACAATGAAAAGGATGTTGAATCTATTGTGTGCTTTAAAAGCAAGAACTGGCCGCTAATTACAAGAGTAAAATATTCCATGGAGAACCATAGATTTTGGCCACATGGAATTACTCAGAAAGTGTCAGAAAGATATCACACAGGTGCTGTGTTCGTGGAAGTTGCAAATTCATTGTGGAGAAGTAGACATTTCTAATGTTTTACGTACGCAAGATAAACCTATTCCTTTGGACATAAATAATCTAAGACCTACCATATCTTTTTTGGGGATTTTGAAAGAGAAGCAGACATAGTATTTCATTTATACATTATTAATATTCACAGTCTCAAGATGCCTCTGTGGTAGCGTAAATAGCAGGGACATTATTTTTCAAATATGTATTAAAGGGCAATTTAGTGGTAGTGTTTGCCTTAAAAATAGAAAATGTGCATATATACTACATTTCATTGATTGTAAGATGCTATTTTATTAATAGATTACCAGAGGAAAAAAGATCTCATAAGACTATGTTAAATGTAGATATCAATTTATATGTGAAAAAATATACATCTGAGAAATAGGGGACCATGTTATGTCAAAAAAGCTTTTTGGATGAAAAACAGTCCAAAAAGTGATTTAATTTGCAAAGCAATTATAATTTTAGATGATGTTTTATTTTTACATGTTTGTTGGCAATTCTATTCTAATCTGTTTTGATTTAATTTGTTCCAATTATTGGGCTTACCTATTTATGGAATACTTTATCCCTATCTTACGTTGAATATATTTTTTTAACTTAGTACTTTGCAATGGTGGCAGGCATTATGTGTTAGTGTCTTCATTATTGAAATATTTGTTTTTTTATTGTCAACCCAGTACTTGGCATATAGATATGTGAAGAATAGATGTGAAAGTACTCTGCTTCTATAGCATTAAATATGCTTTCTAAAATATAGAGTGTTAATATTGGAAATTTATTATATCTTACTGATATAAAAGAAAATGAAAATGGGCCATTTTTTGTTATCTAATGGAGTGTTTCAGATTAGACCTCACGTAACATGGACTCTGTGACCCCAAGGGTAGTATAATCTTTGGGATGTCATTTTTGGGGTTTTTCAGAGGCAGTTTGTATTTTATGTTGTTGCTCTGGGAAATACTCAAAAAAATTTCAGAAAATCACAGAAACAAAAGATTTAAAAATAAAACACATAATTAGATGAATCATTACTAAAATTTAGGGAATGAATATTAGTGAAGCCCACATGATACCATTCATCACTGTGTTAGTAGAAGAATAGAGTAATTTTATGAACTTACTAAAGAGCAGCAATATAGTCTACTAATTATATTGGTGTCTCAGAGTCTAAGATATCCTTATTTTTTACAAAAAAAAAAAACCAGAACAGATATGTAAATTATGTCTCATAAGCCATTAATATATCAATTTAAAACATATTAGAATAACATTATAAATTATTATTGGATCCCCATTTCTGCTCATAAATGCCTAATTAACACATATGACACTGTTATGATACCATTTATACCATTGATTGTATGGGAAGGTCATTTCCAAGGTCAATCACAGGTCTTCTGTTAGAGGGACTTAATTTCCATAGCCTCTTCTTATATTGGCTATTTTGGCTAGAAGGGAATTCAGTGTGATTAGAATGGAAAGAAAGGCAGAGAAATAGGGATTACTAGGGGTCAAAAAAAGAGGGAGGACTTATCTTTTACTTGAGGATGAGGAAACTCAATTATTTCATGTCGTATGTATCTAGATTTCAAAACAAAATACATTCATGATCTCTGTTTGAACTATGCTGCCATTTCTTAAATAACAAATCTAAGCATTCCTTTTCTACTGCAAAATTACTTTTAAAACAAATATGATCGTATAAGAATTGGAACTATTTAAACCAAGGGAAACCATTCTTAATGGCTAGGCGATTAAGACCAGTTGGGTAGAGTAGTTTCAAATATCTTGGATCTTACAAGTTTTTATCTACCAAATGACCAGGTTAACTATTTACAAAGGGAGACGCTATTAAAAATGAATTAATATATAATAAATTACCAATATTAATAATTGCATATTGCTACAGTCAGAATGTGTTCCCTAAAAGCCATTTGTTAGAAACTTGATTCCCAGTCCTGCAGTGCTGGGAGATGGAGCCTTTGGGAGGTGTTTTGTTCATGAATGGATTTATTCAACTGTAAAAAGGACTTGGGGGAATGGGTACATTCCTCCTGCTCTCTGCCATGTGAGGACACAGCAAGAAAGCCCTCACAAGATGCTAGCACCTTGATCTTGGACTTCTAAGCCTCTAGAACTATGAGAAGCTTCTTTACAAATTAACCAGTCTGCTATTCTGTTATAGCAACACAAAATAGCCTGACACATATCAAAATAAATGACAGGTAATACTTATATCAAATTTTAAAGAAATATAAATATACTTAGGTACAAATAAACTATATGTTTATCTTAAATATTAAAATTTTTTACATTTTTTTCTTTGCTTTCCCAGAAACTGACAATTAAATAAGGACAACATAAAAGAGCCTGAAAAAAGGACTCTCTTGGGTCTTACATTTAGCAGTTATTAATCTCAGGAACAAACCAAACATTGCCAGCATTTTAGTTCTAGAAGGCCCCATCAGAGGATGTACTAATAGTCATCTAGTTTCTCTGTCTTTTTATTTTTATTTTTTGAGACGGGGTTCATTCTGCCACCTGGGCTGGAGTGCAGTGGCATAGTCATAGCTTACTGCAACCTCTAATTCCTGGACTCAAGCAATCCTCCCACCTCAGACCCCAGAGTAGCTGAAACTACAATCGTGTGCCAGCATGTCTGGCTAATTATTGTTTTTTAAAATACGGAGACAGGGTCTCCCCACATTACCCAGCCTTGTCTCAAACTCCTGGGCTCAAGGGATCCTCCTGCCTCAGGCTCCCAAAGTGCTGAGATTACAGGCGTCAGCCACCCTGCCAAACCTAGTTTCTCTGTTTTTGACTATCTTTTGTCTTCTTTTGCCTTAGAACATTTTATTACCTTCTTCTAGTTCATTGGTGTTTTAACTGAATTCACCTTGTCCTTAAGATTCAATAGATATGCCTCAGGATTTTCCTAGATAAAAGTGGGACCTTAAACTTGGAGGGTGGTCATCTCTCATTCTGCTTTTAGCAAATCAGCTCTACCTTAATCTGTTCTGTATACTGGGCTCTGCATAATATTCACTTAAGAAAGCAAGTCCAACATTTAAAAATGTGACTTTGAAAACCTGTGCACAAAATGGATATGTAGGATGCTATAGAGAGTTAACATTCTTCTGTTCTATTGATGATAGTGGTCTTTGGTGAGAATCCAAGTGAAGCCTTAGGGGACAAGCTATCACGAAATCAGGTTTCATAAGGAATTTTTTTTCAGTTTTCATGAATAGACACTCTATTTCAAAGTGGGCCAATGCTTTTATAAGTCAAACCAGATAATCTTACTGGTTGCTATGGTGCTGGAGGGTAATGAGGAAATGGTTTTGAACTTGATGGCATGCGAAATGAATAGATATTCTTTTAAAAATATGTTTTTCCATTATAGTGAGAAAATCTGGTTTCAATTTATAAAATCTTTGGGCAGAATGTGCTTTATGTACCTGTCTTAAGAGTGCTTTGATGCCTCCTAGGCACCAGTGGGCAATGGAGTCTTACAAAATCTTTTAAGTGTCAGACTGCCTTCCATTTTTCTGTGTTACCACGGGACTACAGGGACCAGATCTACTAAGAGGAAGGGTGCATTGAAAGTACTAATGTAACTGTTTATCTTCCTCTTTATATATTTATAGAGAACCTGCATGCATCAAATCATTTCTGTGATTTAGATTCACAATAATAAATTATCACTTATACTTTCATTATTGTCAATTTTGTTAAACTTTTGGCAAAATGAACATTATCCTTTTCCTATCCTTTGTCAATTTTTCAGCAAAAGGGCATGCATTGCATTAATTTACATTTTTGTTATTAGTGACGTTAAATCTTTGTGATATAAAATAAAATGCTCAAGAAAATTGTTAAATGATAAATGGAATTATCTCATTCTCCATACAATAATTCTATTTATATTTCTGATAAATCGTTCTTCTTTTGATTGGCTTTCCACAGGTTCTCTGACAATGTCTTTGTGCTCAATCTTCTGTAACTTCATAATACTAAAATAATTTTCAAGTAGCTATGTTTCAGTATTTTCAACAACTTTTTCCATTTTTGGCCAGTGTTTATAAGGTTTTAGGTTTTAAAAATTCCCCTCATGTCATCATATAATAGATTAAAATACTAACCACCCTAACTCGCCAGATTCCTAGAAAAAAAAAATCAAAGACTAGAAATCTAGCATCTAAAATAATAAATATAATTTGCTTTTCCCTGACCTTTTCTTATATAAATTCAATTTCTTTGTGTCCTCTGGGTTCTGCTTCTACCAATTACACCTTTGCTACCTCTAGGTTTGAATATATGGGTATTTATGATTGCTTGCCAAATCAAGCATGAATCAAGATGCAGAACCAGGGTCAGATGCTTGGCAGCAGGTAAGTTTAATACTCTCCAATAAGTATGGCAGATAAATTAATCTGGTTTTAAATTTGGACAAGGTGAACATTTCCTTTTGAAAAGCATTTGAACTCAGTAATTTGGTTGACTATATTTGATAACTAACTGTAAGGGAAAAGGTCATCAACTAAGAAGAAAAAACCCTCTTAAAATAGTTTTCAAAAGCAAACTGCAGGTTATGTGCATGGAAAATTATCAGATTGAAAAAAATTGAGGTGTTACTTTCCATAATAATCCTGTGCTTAGATAAGATTTCCATCTGCTCAGATTCTGGATTTTGTTTAAGTAGCCTAATATTTATTTATATTTTATTTGAGCATTTTATCAACATCTCTTAATGATCTGAAAAAATTATCTACAAGCCCTTATCTACAAAGAGTCTTGTAGGGATTTGTTTATAAGGAGGCTTGAAAAGGACTTCAAACAACAATAGGAGGTATAGAAAAATATCTCACAGTCCCTATGTAAACAAACAATAGTTGAACATATTTAGAATTCAAAGTTAAAATTAAAACAAATTTTAAGGATAATTACTGGTACTTATGAGATAAAATTTAATCTTATAGGAAATTCTATAATGAATAGGAAAATATAGGCCCTTTCAAGCTGATGAATTATTAATGGAGACTAAGTCTTACTTGATACTTCCTAGACTTTTTCCCCTCAACATACTGAGTTGTAATAACTAGTCACTCAAGAAAAAAAAAAAAAAATTGCACTACCACCTAATTATATTTTTTACAAAAATAATTTCAACTTTTATTTTAGTTTCAGAGGGTAAAAGTGCAGGTTTGTTACATGGGTACGTAGTGTGATGCTGAGATTTTAGGTACAGATGATCCCATCACTCAGGTAGCGAGCATAGTACCCTACAGGTAGTTTTTCAGCCCACGCCTTCCTGCCTCCCTACTTCTAGTAATCCTCAGTGTCTATTGTTTCCATCTTTATGTCCATGTGTAGTCAGGGTTTAGCTCCCATTTATAAGTGAGAACATGTAGTATTTAGTTTTTTGATCCTGCATTAATTCTCTTAGGATGATAACTTCTAGCTGCATCCATGTTGCTACTAAGGGCATGATTTCATTCTTTTTATGGCTGCATAGTATTCCATAATGTATATGTACCACGTTTTCTTTATTCAGTCCACTGTCGATGGACTCATCGATCAATTCCATGTCTTGACAATTGTGACTAGTGCAGTGATAAACATATGGGTACACGTGTCTTTTTGGTAGAATGGTTCATTTTCCTTTGGGTATGTACCCAGTAATGGGATTGCTGGATTGAATGGGACTTTAAGTTCTTCACTTAATCTGCGTACTGCTTTCCCCAGTGGATGAATAACTTACATTCCCACCAAGAGCGTATAAGTGTTCTTTCTCTACAGCCTCACTGACACCTGTTTGTTTGTTTTTTTTTTTTAAGTCACCAATCTGACTGGTGTGAGGTGGTATTTCATTGTGGTTTTCATTTGCATTTCTCTGATGATTAGTGATGTTGAGCCTGTTTTTCATACATTTGTTGGCCACTGGAATGTCCTTGTTTGAGAAATGTCTGTTCATGTTCTTTGCCCATTTTTTTTAATGAAATTATTTCTGTTTTTGTTTGTTGATTTGTTTAGCTTCCTTATAAATTCTAAATATTGGACCTTTCTCAGATGCATAGTTTGTGAATCGTTTCACTCATTGTGTAGGTTGTCTGCTCACACTGTTGATTGTTTCTCTTGCTGTATCGAAGCTCTTTTCATTTAATTAGGTACTACTTGTCAATTTTTGTTTTTGTTGTAATTGTTTTTGCTGAGTTAACCATAAATTCTTAGCCAAGATCAATGTCTGGAAGGGTATTTCCTAGCTTTTCTTCTACAATTTTTATAATTTAAATCTTGTATTCATCTTCAGTTAATTTTTGTATAAGGTGACCGGAAGAGGTCTAGTTTCATTCTTCTGCATATGACTAGCCAGTTATCTCAGCACCGTTTACTGAATAGGGAGTCCTTTCTCCATTGCTTACTTTTGTCAATTTTGTTGAAAATCAAATGATTATTAGGTTTCTGGCTTTATTGCTGGGTCCTCTTTTCTGTCCCAGTGGTCTATTTGTTTGCTCTGTTCATGTTTTCGCTTTCTACTTGATTCAGACTTAGATTTTGTGTTTCCAGGAATGTATCTATTTCCTCTAGACTTCCTAATTTGTGTTCATATAGGTGTTCATAATAGTCTTTGAATATATATTGTCTGTGGGATCAATTGTAATGTTATCTCTGTCATTTCTGATTGTGCTTATTTGGATCTTCTCTTTCTTTCCTTGATAATCTATGTAATGGTCTAATAATTTTGTCTGCTCTTTTGAAAAACCAACTCTAGGTGTAATTGATTTTTCGTGTAGACTTTTGCTTCTCAATTTCATTTAGTTCTTCTCTGACATTAGTTATTTCTGTTCTTCTTCTAACTTTGTGGTTGGTTTGTTCTTTTTTCCCCTAGTTCCTCTAGGTGTGATATTCGATAGTTAATTGAGATCTTTCTAATTTGTTGATGAAGGCATTTATTTCTATAAACTTTACTCTTAATACTGCTTTAGCTGCATCCCAAACGTTCTGGTAAGATGTATCTCTAGTTTTTTTTAATTTCATAGAATTTTTTGATGTCTGCCTTAATTTTGTTGCTCACCAAGAGTTACTCAGGAGCAAGTTGTTAAATTTCCATGTATTTGTGTAGTTTTGAGAGTTCTTCTTGGTATAGATTTCTATTTTTATTGCACTGTGGTCCAAGAGAGTGCTTGGTATGGTTTCAAGTTTTTTAATTTCTTGAGACTTTCTTTATGACTGGCATGTATTCAATCCTTGGACATGTTCTGGGTGCAGATGAGAAGAATATATAATCTGTGATTATTGAGTGGCACATTCTGTAGACATCTGTTAGGTATAATTGCTCAATTGTGGAATTTAAATCCAAAACTTGTTAGTTTTCCTACTGGATGATTTGTCTAATGCTGTCAGTGGTGTGCTGAAGTCTCCTACTATTATTGTGTGCCTATCCATATGTTTTTGTGAGTCAAGAAGAACTTGTTTTATGAATCTGGGTGCACTAATGTTGGGTGCATATATAATGAGGATAGTTAAGCCTTTTTGTTGCATTGTATCGTTTCTTATTATATAATGCCCTTTTTTTGTCCTTCTTGATTGTTGTTGCTTTAAAGGCTGTTTTATGTGATATAAGACTTGTTTTTTTTTTTTGTTTTTTGTTTGTATGGTAGATCTTTCTCCATCCCTTTACTTTGAGCTTGTGCATGTCATTACATGTGAGGTGGGTCTTTTGAAGACAGAAAATAATTGGGTCTTGTCTTCTGATCCAGCTTCCCACTCTATGCCTTTTTATTGAGGCATTTGGACCATTTACTTTCAGGGTTAGTACTGATATGTGAGATTTTGATACTGTTATCATATTGGTAGCTTTTGTTTTGTAGACTTGAATGTATAATTTCTTGCAAAATTTGGCCCTGCTATCTCTTGACCCGACAGTCAACTGGGGTTAGAGCAACTTGGGGAAGATTGGGAGGCTTGGGATATGGGCACCTGTGGCCATGTTCCACTGCAGCTGCCCTGTGTGCAAAAACCCCCAGGCTCCACACACGCTGGAGCTCTGTCTCTCTCTACTCTCCATGTACTCTCAGGTCAGACCCCCTACCCACCCCCAGCAGTTAAAATGTCTGTGGGGGTTGTGGGATCTCGTGTAGCTAGGATCCCAAAGTTCCATGGCAAGAGTGGGTTGCTTCACCATCTCTTCACTCAGCCCTTGCCCAGGAGCCATTCTAGGGTGGAACTAGCACTGGCATTTGACAATCCTATACAGGATTTCCAGCTTCCTTTCTCTTTAGCCTCAGGGTCTGCATTGCCTCTGTATCAACTCTTGGTGTTTTCTCATCATGGATCTATTCAAAGTATGTTCCCTTATTGTGCTTTAATAACAGATAAGTAAGACCTATCCCTAGATATATCCGTAGATATATCAGTTTATATTTATACCACTTCATATTTTGTCTTTGTATTTAAATTTCTTATACTTTTGATTCTTTGAATATATTGTGAGATTTTATTGTTAATGTGATATAGTATTCTATGTAATATTAATAGTACAGCATGTTACTAATATGTAATATGTTATGCAATTATATAATACTTAATATTAACATTACATGAGTAACAAATTATGTAAATATGAAACACTTGATAGTTTCGTAAGAATTTTACATGTATCAGTTTCTTTAAAGCTCACAATCATACTGTGAGGTAGATAGTATCTCTATTTTAAAGATAAGAATTCTCAAAATATTCAGATAAATAAAACTAAATAAATAAGATGAAAATTAATAAATAAGACTAAATTTACATATAGAGTTTTAACCTGTATCCTTTTAAAAAATTGATTGCTTTATTGTTTTTATAGAAAAAAAAGATATATACTGATTAGAAAAATTCAAATAATGATAAAAATCTGACATTTTAACAAGGATTGTTACCTGCCTTCTCTGACCATATTCCATACATACATTTCTCAGTATATATGCAGAAAGGAAGAGGGTAGGTGAGATAGCTACTCAGAAAGAAATTAATTTTGAAAATGGGGTACTTTTTCATTTAAAAATAGAAAACTTTGATTAATTTTTACTTTTGTATATCTGAGATAGAAGAACAGATGTAAAACTGAAGGCATAGTTGACCTTGAAATGAGCGTTTCTTCATGAAAAGAAAAAGTTACCTGTAAATTTAAGAAAATAACTGTCATACAGAATAGGCATCCAGTGTTTTTGATTGTTTCAACTGTGCAAAGTATCTACTTCCTTGCTTTGGAAGAGCGGAAATTATAACCATGTCGAACTCAAAGTTGTTTAATTTCTATATTTAAATAGATTCACTACTCAACATTATATATTTTTGATGTATCACTATTTTTCTGTTAATTGACCTATTCTAATGAATCTCTTGG